AGGCTATGCTCGTATTTTCTTACATCTGCATAAAGAACTCTGGAGGGACGCATGGAAGCTTGGTGATAGCTCACGCTTAGGAACTGGATAGAAGAGGGAGCTCTGGGATGAGACTTCTTGCTATATGTCTTTTTATATTGTTTGGTCATGAGAGTCATGTTCATTCACTGATTTACTGAGCATCTAATAGGTACCGGCAGTATTCTACATGTTGAAGATTTAGAAGTCAACAAAAGAAACAAAAATCTCACTGCTCCCAGGAACTTAAGTTCCAGTAGGACAGACAAATACTAAACAAATAAATAAAGTACATAGTATGTTAGATGATGATAAGGTGACAAGGCAGAGAAAACAGGAAAAATAGAAAGGGGGATATGAAGTGTTGAATGTGTGTTTGTGGGGAGGACATTGATAGAGTGACCAGAGTGACTTTAAAGGAAAAACCTAAAGGAAATGAAAAAGTGAGTCAGGGGAATATATTAAATATTCAAATGATTAAATTAAAATGAGTAATCATGCCATTTACTTTTTCTAACAACCCAGTCAGGAGTTATTAACGAGGTTATTATTACTAATGAGATTATTAACCTCATTATAAAGTATCATATTCTGGTCCCAATGAGTTGCTTGCAAATAGTTAAAACAAGAAATGTTCACTCCTCCAATCTAAGTGCTGAGATAGAGGGAAGCAAAACATGTCTGGGGAGAACATAAATGAGTGCCTAAGCCAGTGCGGGGAGTAAGGGGAGGAGATGACATTGAGCCAGAGGGAAGGATCCATGGAAAAGGAAATGACTGTGCAAAAGCAAAGAGTTGAGAAAAAACCCAGCAAGTGGTTTAGAATAACTAGCAGAGGTCTTGATCAGGGAGGGCTGTGACTAAATAAAAAAATGGAGAAGTAAAGATCAGACACCAAAAGCCCTGGTAAGGCACTTAAGGAACTTCAGAGTGGGATTCCCCAAACCATCCCAAGTCCCTTCTTGCTTGCTTGCTTCCTACTCTACAACAGGTTTTCTCAACCTCAGCACTATTGACATCTTGGACTGGATAATTCTTTGTTGTCCTGTGCATTGTCTACAATGTTTCTCCACTCACTAGATGCCAGTGGCAGCCTGCCCTCCCCTCCAAGTTGTGACAACCAAAAATATCTCTAGACATTGCCAGAAGTCCCACTATAGGGTAAAATCACCCCTGGTGTGAACCACTGGTCTAGAGATTGAAAAAGCTAAAATTCTCATTTTTCCAGCCTCCCTTGCAGCTAGAGATAGCCATGTGACATAGTCTGGCCAAAGAAATATGACAGAAGATCTACTAGAGTCCTTCCCTTTTCTGCCTTTTTTTTTTTTTTAACTTGAATGACTAGCAGCCACTTTGTAGCCATGAAATGACAAGCATAAAAGAAAGGCCATGAGAATCACAAACATGTTGGCCTCTACATCTTTTATTGTATATATTCAAGGTGTACAATATGATTTTTTTTTTTAAGATGACCGGTAAGGGGATCTCAACCCTTGGCTTGGTGTTGTCAGCACCACGCTCAGCCAGTGAGCCAACTGGCCATCCCTACATAGGATCCGAACCCGTGGCCTTGGTGTTATCAGCGCCACACTCTCCCAAGTGCATCACAGGCTGGCTCAATATGATGTTTTGACATACATCTACATGGTGAAATGATTACTACAGTCAAGAGAATAAACATATCCATCACTTTCCATAGCTACCTTTTCTATTTTTATGATAAAATAACCTACAATCTCCTCTCTTAGCAAATTTTCAGTATACCATAAAATATTATTAACTATAGTCTTCATGCTGTACATGAGCTATCTAGACCTATCCATCCTATGTAACTGCAAGTGTGTACACTTTGACCTTCTCCCCATTTCCTCCCCCTTCCCACCCTGGTAACCACCATTCTACTCTCTATGTATTCAACTTTTTATTAGATTCCATATATAAGTGAGATCATGCAGTTGTTTTTTTCTTTTTTTTCCCATGTCTCTGCTAAATGTAAACCCAAAGGAAATAAAACCAGCACCTTGTAGATATATCTATGTTCTCATGTTCATTGCAGCAGTATTCACAACAGCCAAGTTATGGAAACAACCTGAGTCCATCAACAGATAAATGGATAAAGAAATTGTCATGTATGTACACAATAGAATATTATTTAGCCTTAACAAAAATGGAGATTCTGCCATTTGTGACAACGTGATTGAACCTGGAGGACATTATGCTAAGGGAAATAAGCCAGACACAGAAATAAAAATGCTGACCCTTACACTTTTGAGCCAATGGACAAATGCTAGCAACCACCTATCTCTAGACTTCTTGTTGTGAGGGTAAAACTCCTATGTGTTTAGGCCACCAAGTGGAGGTTTTATATTATCTGCAGCTGAAAACAATCCTAACTATTTTTTTTTCCTTTTTGTCTTTTTTACTGACCGGTAACGGGATTGCAACCCTCGGTGTCGTGCCCGTACCGGGGACCGTCAACGGGATCGCAACCCTTGGTGTTGCGCCCGCACCGCGCTCAGCCAGTGAGCGGGAACCGGTCTCCACATGGGATCCGAACCCTCAGCGGAAGCGCCGCCGCGCTCCCAATTGGCGCACTCTCCAGTGCGCCACCGGGCCGGCCCCAATCCTAACTATTAAACCATAAAATAATGAGGATCCACTGAGAGATTCTAAAAAATAAAAAGAAATGCAAAGTCACACCTGCATTTTGGAAAGATCATTTTGCTACAAAACACAAACTGCAAAGCAAGATTGGAGGCAGGAAGACCATGGAAAATGCCATTATGGCAACACAGGCAAAAACATAATGAGGCTTAAACCAAATCAACAATGGTGGGAATAACATGGAGGGGACACATTTGTGGGACCTTGAGAGGAAAGATGGATCATCCCCTAATGAACTGGATATGGGAAATAAAGAAGATGCATCAAATAATCATATTTCTGGATTAAGTGATACCCTAGAGGGGTACACAAAAGAAGGAACAAAGAGAAGGACAATATTTGATTGTAGGCCAGGTTGAATTTGATATGCTTATTACATATCCAAGTGATAATTTTCAGGATACTTGGATATGCAGCTCAAAAAGTCAGAAAAGACAGGGGAGTTATCATTGTCTAGTATGTGGATGTTATAATTCAAATTTTAAATTCCAATAAAAATTACTTATTACAAAGTAATATCAATAAATTATTAGAATACTTAAAAATACATCTAAACAAAAGAAAATAAAAAATACACAGAACATACCTGTACAATCCTGGCACCCAGATATAATGTATAGTAAAATCTGGTTATATATACATATGAATATAAACATAAATGGGATTATACTGTATATGATGTGCAGTAACAGATTTTATTGACCTAATAGCGCACCATAAACATCTTTCTATTTCAACTACTAGTCACCAGTTTTTTTTTTTAAGTTTTACTATTATAAACAGTTCTGAGATAAATTATCCTCACAGTAAAATTTCTGCCTATATCCCTAATTATTTCATTAGGAGAATTTCCTGGAAGTGGGATTGCTGGCTAAAATAGTCTTTTAAGGCTTTTAATAGATATTGCCAGATCATTCTCTAAAGAGGTTGTAGCACTTCACAATCCCATAAGCACTATGTGCAAGCACTCATCTCCTCACCCTTTCTTCAAGTTATATACTCGATCGTTCAAATCTTTGAGAATTTTATAAAATAAAAATGTTAATCTCATTGCTGTTTTTATCTTGCATTTGTTTGCTAGAATTTGAGCTGTTTATGTCTTATTGGTAACCTGCATTTCTTCTTTTGCGTACTGCTAAATTTCTTATTCTTTCTCACCTTTTTATTAATTTATAAGAGCTCTTCTTCTGTTATTTCATTAACACTACATTTTTTTCTTAGCTTTTGTCACTTATTTACTTTTTAAGGCCCATTTTGGTACACAGATATTTAAAATTATTGAAATGGTCAAGATTTGAAATGGCTGTTGTGAAGAATGGGCCAAGATCCAGAAGCTAATAGAAAAATTAAGGCACCATGTGAAAGGCTGAGCTGAGATTGGAGACCATAAATTTCTAGTGGCTTCAAATTGCAATTTATAGCAGCCCTGGATAACTTGGGTACAGAGGGAGAAAGGGTAACCTTTCTTAAGTCACCATATATAAACCCTGGCTAGAAAATTGGGAAGTAAAACCAGTTCTTGTAGAAAGGAAATCTAATCAGAACTTCACTCCCTTCCTTTTTATACAATATCCAGAGACATCTGGCAAAACAGAACAAAATAAAAGCAAACTATCAAAAAATCAAAAACTCACTCAAGCAGCAGAAGAGCAGTTTGGTTATTCAAACCACTGAGCATTTTCATGTATTTTTCATTGGCTCCTTTTGTATGACCTGCAACTGTTCTCAAGAAATGATCTTGAGGAGAAAGTCAGCCACCTTCATAAAGAGTACAGCTTTGAACCAAGGAAGGGGCAAATATCTGACTCTCCCACACTCACATACCTCTGTTTCCATCTCTCCCACAAGGTTATCAAACACCTCAGACAGTCCCCAAACACGTGCACGCATGCACACATGTGCACACACACATACACGCTCTCACACACTCACACACAAGCAGGCTGCATAGGTCGAGAACTGCATAGAAATAACCAGGCTGAGGAACTCCAAGCAGCCCCTCCCTCATCAGAGTTAATGCATAATGACAGAAGCCAACAGTAGCCCCGGGCTACTTCACTCACTCACTTGAGCTGAAAGGAAACCAAACATTTTCAGCAAGATAAAGCTCTTAGAACCCTTCATTTGCCAAATTAGAGAATGCCAAGCTTAACTCCCGACCAGAAGACCTTTCATCTCAAAACTCAGCACAGCAGGGCCCTCACTTTGATCACATGGCTTTTCTCTCCTGAGTATAAAGGCCAGAGATGGCCACCCAGAAGAAAGTCCTGGACCCCATGCTGGCCCCAGCCCTGGCCCAGCCAAGACCAGGCACCTACCTGCGACAAAGGAATAGGCGGCTAGGATGTTGCTGAGCAAAGCCATCTCCACGTGCGCAGTGCTGTGGCTGCTGAGCAGCCTTGTGGCATGCAAAGGAGCCTCCTGCAGATGCTGAAGCAATGCGGCCACTCTCCCTCTCTTCTCTTCTGTTTGGGAACACAAAGTGAGTGATGAAACATATTCTGCTTTCCAAAGGCCATGTTCCAGGTAGCCTGGGCCAAAGAACAAAGAGCCTGTCTCCTAAATGCCAGCCAGCTTTCCCAGCCAGGAGCCACAAAGACCTGGGGTCTTAGCCTCTTTGCAAAATGGAACTTCTTGGCTTTCAAGGAAGTGACAACTTCCTACATCTGATTTTCCTGGGCTTTCTCCTTTACCTTCTTGTCTCCTCCCAACGTCCCCCTTACCTTTCCTGGTGCTCTTCACTACCTTCTCCTTGGTTCACCCACCAGGTTCGAATCATCATTGCTGCCTTTTAACCCCAACCACAGCTCTCTCCTCTCCTGCTCTGCTTTCCCCAGAGCCTACACTGATGACACTTGTGTACCTTGATCAGTTTGTCTCATAACCTCAGGACACCCAATGTGTGTCCTTGGCAATGGGTCAGAGCTGGCTGTCCCGGAACTGCCAAAGCAGTTCCAGTTCGAAAACACCACAAGGATTTGGGACCTTGAGCCTGCTCCCTGCCCCCAGCTCCATGGCATGACTCCACCTATGACTGTGATGGGTCAGCCACACACATGGCCCACAGACTGCCTGCTGACAGCACCACTCCACTGGGAGTCAAAACAGAGAATTGGGTTCGGTGGCTCAGCCTCTGGCTGGAGGAGCACGTCCTCTCCCCAGCTGCTGCTGCTGCTCTGGTGGCGGCTCAGACCCAGCATCCTCACTACCCAGTTCACTCAGCAAAGGCATCACAGTGAGCCCCTGAGGATGGAGGGAAGAGAGTGGCAGAGACCCTGATGACTCCCATTCGATGCTGCTGTAAGCTGAAGATGGGAAACTGAGTCACAGGGTGTGACAGGATGTCGAGCTTGAAGAAAGCTAGAGAAGCAGGAGGCTCCAGTCCATGGAGAAGAAACTTGGGCTCTCAGTGGGTCACAGATGTCAGTACCATGGGCCACATTTAGAGGGCTGGAGAGTTGCACTTCCACAAGGTGTATGAAATGGGTTACAACAGAAAAGGCAACTCTCACTCAGGTGGATTCCATCAGCCTTCAGGGAAGACCAAAACAAGGAAAGGGAGACCAACTCATGGGTAAGATGGAAACAACACAAGGCCCTTGGAGGAGCCAGAGGCTCTGAGAGTGGCAGGACAGGAGTGAGAACTTTGGGGACTCTGAGAAGGGGCTGGCTACTGTTGAACTCAAACGAACTTCCTTCAACAGTCATTCGAGTTCCTAAAAGGTGACAACTGGATGATACAGGCAAACAGAACCACCACCCTGAGTTCAGAGGCTGTTCTGCAGGTCTGAGGACTTCAGGACCCAGGAAAAGAGGGAAGCTGCTGGAATATGTCTGAGTGTGCAGTGAGGCAGGGCTATTTCAGACCCATGCCGTTCTCCCTATCCCCACTAATGCCTCCATAGTGCAAGTCTCCTTGTTTCACTTCTGGGAGTTCTTCAACAGTCTCCTACCTGGTCTTTCTGCTGACACCTTCTTCCTGCTCAATCCAGCACCCACTCTCACCCACAGGTCATCTTTCTACAGTACAAGTAAGATCATATCACTTCACAGCCCAGCCCTTCCACTAACCCTCTTAAACTTCCTCACATGACACACATCCACTTCCACAACATCTGACACCTTCCTTAGCTCCTGATTTATCTGCTATCCAGGTCAACCCTCACACACACATACACGCAGAGATACAATGATACTTCAAAAAGTTCGTGGAAAATATAATTGAAAGGTAATATGAATCTTTCCATGAACTTTTTGAAGTACCCTCATATAAGCATGCTTACTGCTCCAACAATACGAGATTACTTTTAGTTCCCCAAATACACCAAGCTATTTTTATCTTTCATGTTTTTGATCATGCTTTTCCTTTTGCCTAAAATGCCCTTCTTCCCCTTATTTCCTGTCTGGCACATATTTCCTTTAAGAGAGAATTCAAAAGTTCTATGGCAGTCTCAAAATCCTAATGACTTTTTCTGCAGAAAGAGAAAAATCCACACTACAATTCATATGGAATCTCAAGGGACCCTGAACAGACAAAACAATCTTGAAAATCTTCTTGAAAAAGAACAAAGTCGGAGGTCTCATTCTTCATGATTTCCAAACTTACTACAAAGCTACAGTGATCAAAACAGTGTGGACTGGCACAAAAATGACACATGGACCAATGGAACAGAATAGAGAGCCCAGAATTAAACCCATACATATATGTTCAAACGATTTTCAACAAGAGTGCCAAGACCATTCAATAGGGAAAAGAGTGTCTTTTCAGCAAATAGTGTTGGAAAAACTGGATATCCAATGCAAAAGAATGAAGTTAGATCCTTACTTTATGCCATATAAAAATTAACTCAAAGTAGATCAAAGACCTAAACGTAACAGATAAAACTCTTAGAAAGAAACATAAGGTAAAGATTCATCGCACTGGATTTGACAATAATTTCTTGATATGACACCAAAAGCACAAGTAACAGAAGTGAAAATATATAAATTAGAGTTTTTAAAGTTAAAAACTTCTGTTCATCAAAGGACACAACAGAGTGAGAAGGCAGCCCGAAGAGTGGGAAAAAAATATTTGCAAATCATGTATCTGATAAGAGGTTAATATCCTGGCAAAGAGCTTGAAGAGACATTTCTCCAAAGATATAGAAATAGTCAATAAGCACACGAAAAGATGCTGAACATCACTAATCGTTAAGGAAATGTAAATCAAAACCACAATGAGATACCACCTCACACCCATTAGGATGGTTACCATCAAAAAACCAAAAAATAACACGAGTTGGAAGGATATGGAGAAATTGGAACTCTTGTGCACTGTTGAAATCATGTATCTGATAAGAGGTTAATATCCTGGCAAAGACCTTGAAGAGACATTTCTCCAAAGATATAGAAATAGTCAATAAGCACACGAAAAGATGCTGAGCATCACTAATCGTTAAGGAAATGTAAATCAAAACCACAATGAGATACCACCTCACACCCATTAGGATGGTTACCATCAGAAAACCAAAAAATAACACGAGTTGGAAGGATATGGAGAAATTGGAACTCTTGTGCACTGTTGGTGGGAAGGTAAAATTGTGCAGCCATTATAAAGAAATAGTATGGTGGTTCCTCAAAAAAATTAAAACAGAATTATCATATGACCTAGCAATTCCACTTCTGGGTATATACCCAAAAGAATTGAAAGTACAGACTTTAATAGAATTTGTACATCAGCGTTCAGAGTCATATTGTTCACAATAGCCGAAAGGTGGAAGTAACCCAAATGCACATCCATGGATGAATGAATAAACAAAATGTGGTGTACACATGCAATGGAATATTACCCACAGCCTTAAAAAGGAAGGAGATTCTGACACAAGCTACAACATGGATAAGGCTTGAGGCTTGTCCTATTATGCTAAGTGAAATAAGCCAGTCACAAAAGGACAGATTCTGTTCCACATATGTGAAGTAACTAGAGTAGTCAAATTCGTAGAGACAGAAAGTAGAATAGTGGTTGTCAGGGGCTGGAGGAAGAGGGGGGAAAGAGTTATTGCTTAATGGGTACAGGGTGCAAAGTTTAAGTTTTGCAAGATGAAAAAGTCCTGGAGATGAACGGTGGTGATGGTTGCACAATAATGTAAATGTACTTAATGCCACCGAACCGTACGCTTAAAAATAAGTTAAGTCCTGGTCAGTAATGCCTATGCTAATAATAATAATAATAATAATAATAATAATAATATTAAATTAAGACGGTAAATTTTGTTATGTGAATTTTACCACAATTTTAAAAATTAACAATAATGTGTTGGTGAGGTACAACAGTGAATTTTGAAGGTTACTTCATTTAGAGAATCCTGCAGTCAAATTTTGGTGTTCAGTTAACAGGAATAGTAGCAGAGTTATCTTTCAGTAGCATTAAAATTGAAGTCAATAAAATTCTTTTTTTTTTCCCCTATTTTTTGTCTTTTTTCCGTGTCTGGCAACGGATCGCAACCCTCAGTGTCGCGCCCGTACCG